ACGACTATATGCTTTCTTCTTTATTTATATAAAGAAGAAAACATATAATCGCAAAGACAAAAATACTTATATCTCATTATCTACTAGGCTGATTTTAATGTTTAACTGCCATTTTGATCACAAGACACTCATCTACAACTTTACTTAAGCATTGAAAAGGTTTACTTAGTAAAGAAAAAAAGATTGGTTGAAAAACTCCAAATTCAGAAATTTTAAAAACAAAAAAAAAAATTTAGTAAACATATTTTTACTGTTATACTATGTTTTGTCACTGAACCTAAACTGAACATGAATCTGACTTAAAAGTTCAATACTAAACCTGAACTGAACATGAACCTGACTTAAAAGTTCAAGAACTTGACTTAAAAGTTCAATACTGAACCTGATTGAAATGAACTTGAACCTGAACTTGACCAAAGTTCAGTTCAGTTCAGGTTCATAGGAATACTAAATGTAGAGATAAATCTGTCAAGATTAATAAAATAAATATCAATTATACCAAGCATCCTAAAAAAATATTGCACTTTACTTTTTAAACTATAAGATTATCCAGTAGAAGATAAATCACAACATACTTATTATATTATTAATATATTAAAATGGCATGTAGTTGATCAAGAAATTTTCAATAGTATAGGCTAAACAGAAATCCCATAGTGACCTTTTGTTTCAAAACCAAGTATTTGTTTGAGGCTTGTTTCTAGCATGTCAAAACAACATTTAAACTATCAGCTTCATCAGCAAAACAATCAATTCAACAATTGGTTAGAAAAAAGAATCAAAAACTGTAATCATAGTTAGATAATGACACCTTTCACATCAATTAAGCAATTTTTTGCCAGAAACTAGAAAATAAACATTTTGACATAGATGCTATGACAGTTGTATTCATTGTTTCTAGTATAGTTTTGTATATACTAACACCTTGCTGTGGTCTTGGTCTGAAAATCATATTAAGGTGAAGCTATAGACAAAAATATTCTCTAGTATTTTCACATTTAATAAAGCAAAATTTGTTCAGTTTGGGGATTGCACCATTTAATTTCTAGAAATAGTGGCTGAGGTTCTGCCTAATCAGATTTCGCTGCTATAGTTACAAATTATGACAATTTGCAATTTCCTTTCTTTATAGTCGACTTTGAGAGAGAAGGTTTTGAAATTCATAAGGATAACATAGTAGTTGTAACAGAGACAGTGTATGAACTTAATCATATATTAACTTTAGCATATAGTTTATTGGAAGAAAAGGTTAACAGAACTTGTATACATAGGTTTGGTTAATAATACTTGAATAAGTTTTAGTAAAATTATGCCTGTCTACAACTAAGAAGAATCAATATTTATTTATATGAATAATAAAATACTATCTTATAATTTAAAAACTGATGATTTAGAGAAAAATATTGAAAATGGGTTGCAACTAGTTATTTATCTGAGAAAAACTATTTGTAAAGATGGACTATGGATTGAAACAATATTAAACAGAAAATCAACAAGTTATAATTATAAATTAAAGAATTATTACTACAGCTACCAAATGAAGCTGTAAAGTCAAGAGATTGTGATACCAAATATACACCACTCACAAAAAGGCTGTGATGCATCTTTTCTATATAAAGCAGAATTATTAGATACTGTATAACTTTAATGTCAAGATTGTACTGATTGTTATACATTCTATAGAGAAACTTTTATGGCTGATAGTGAAATTTAATATATTTTTATTATAAATTTTAAATTTTTGGATAGAGTTAGGATTTATAATAAAGAGTATATGCTAATTTTAGCAGGACTTATATTTTTAAATAGAGACATCAGCATTTGCCAATTTCAGTATCAGCCGTGGCAACTTATTTGATTTTTTCAAATGAATCACTTGTGATTGAAAATATATATATTTGCAAATTCACACAATAGTTTCTTTTAGACTTGGTCCATAAATCTAAATTAAAAAACTAACAAAATAATAAATTAATTTTTAATATAAAAAATTAATTTAATTATAAATCAATGGTTGTTATTTAATTTCCCGAAAGCTACTTACTCGCCAACTCATTTTTTCGTCATTGCAATGCTAACATGCTATTTCATACAGCACATTTTTTCGATAAGTCATATATTCGACATTACAAATTTTTGACAATACTTTTCTTAATTAAGACATTTCCCCAATAATTATTTCTTCAACATGAAATTGGCCCAATTTAGCCTGATTTAAAATTAGTGTTGGTTAGAATTATATGTCAGAAAATGTCTTATCTAAGAAAAGGAATGTCGAAAAAATATCAAACATATGTCTTATCAAAAAAATGTAATTGGGAAATCGTGCTATAACTAGTGATTCTGGCCAAGTATGATTTTTCGGCTATGTCTAAGCCGATAAATTTTATCAGCTTATTTATAGCTGTTTTCATAGATTTTGAAAATTTGCCAAAGTTAAATTTGATAAGCTATTTATCTCGGTACTATATAAATACATAATATATAAGTATTTGTTACTAAAGTTTTTCAAACATATTTGTTAGAAAATAGTTAAAAGAACTTAGAAGGCTTAAGTTAGAGTAATTGCTAAACATTTGGATGTTAACAAGTCTTCTGTAGATCGAGTTCTCAAACAATTTCAGAGGTATGACTGTGTTGATAAATTACTATTACTTAAATAAACATTATACATACTTTGAACTTTATTATAATTATTAAGACATCATTAACAAATATTAATAAAATCTTAACCTCTGATTTCAACTTGCGTTGCATTTTTTTACAACCCCTGATCATATTTAAACTTTTTTTTATTAGTGCCTACTTATATAATATAGAGTATAGTATTACATATTAAAAGTCAAATTTACAAAATTTTTTTTGATTTTTGTATTGTATTTAATAAACAAGTTTGCTATACTATAAGTTACCAAAGATAATTATATAATAAAAAGATTTACAAAACAAATTTGAAGTCTATAAGTTTATTAAGAAAGTCCAACTTATATTCAAAACTTTTTCATTTAATTGGCAAAAGCAGTTTTTGGTATAAATTTTTGTATTATACATATTGAATATGGCAAAAAAAAATTTTAATGAAGTGTTGAAATAAATGCATTGTGAATGTAATATAATATTGATCGAACAATTTATATACTGATCACGTACTAATCATACCGAAATCAAAATCAATAACTTATCCAAATTCGGCTGAATAGACTTTGGCAAATTTTTTAGCTTTATTCATTTTTATATCAGAAATTTTTGTAATGGTATATTTTGACTATACCAAATCAATCAGCTGATTTTAAAAAAATCAACTGGCTAAGCCATTAATTTTTTTTAGCTAATTTTTTTTTTACTTTTGGCCAAAATTACTAGCTATAACCAAATCAATATAAAAATACTTTTTTGTTCAAAAAAAATTTACAAATAATCATTATTATTCCAAGACTACAGAAGCTTCAAAAGCTAAGATCTGATTTATTTTTTGCATACTTAACCAATAAATATTGTGCTTAACATCTATTTTTTATAGCATGGGTTTTTTACTATTAAAAATGTTAAATAGCTTTATGAATAGTGTCATGGGGCTAAGAGATACTAATAGTTTTATATTGAAAATCTAGCTAGACACAGTATGATCCAATAATTATTCGCTTGTTTATTTACTTTGTACTGTATATGTAACAATGATAAATATAGCAACAATAAGTTATTATTCTTTTTATTCAAAATGTACTTTGTGTGAAAATGCTCTAAAACTAAAAACTGATAATTTTCTCTAACTCTATATTTCTTATTTATACCCTTACATCTATATAGTTACATTGTATGAAAGTATTTTGCAGATCAGTATAGTATAGGAGGGCAGATTAGTATAGTATAGGCCGATTTTTAAATTTTTTACAAGGATCTCCAAATTTCCAGGTCATAATACGTCATGGTTAGAGTCAGGATTAAGGCTGAATTAGGGTTAATAGGAGCTATAGGCTATAGTAAAATTGTTAGTTGGGCACTTTTCACTTAATAAATGACTATCATTTTATTGGTAAAATTCTTAGTAATCTTAGGGCAAAATTGATCAACTAACTAGAGTTTTGAAGATTCCAATCAGGAATTTTGATAATCTCTCTGTAGGAGTTGATTTTTAAATCTATACTATACTATACAGACCAGGTATTATACCGGGTGTCCCAAAAGTTCCTATACATGGTCCCTTTTTTTTTTTTAAGTGTTGTATAAATAATCATTGTGATCTTTAAATAGAAACTATTTAAGATCCGAAGGACTTAACACGGATTAGTCTGACAATGAGTATTCTTAAAGCAAATATGTTTTTATCAATTAACCAATCAAAATACCTAATATATAGACACACACACAACTAGGTTATTATGACTCTCCCGTAATGTTCTTTGGACAACTAGCCAATCAAGTATATAGCAAAATTATTCAATTAAATATAGCACTACTTGAATATATGCCAGGTTCGTAGCGTAGCAAAAATTCTTTAAAGCTCATTTATGTTAGGAAAATAGAAATTAGAGAAAAGTAAATTATATAGTAAAATTGCTCAACAAAAACTTTTTATTAGTATATTAAAGGTGGTTTCTTATACTAATTTTAAGAAATATATAATTTTTGACAAAACAAACATTTGTTTTAAATTTTCTAGATCGTGTTATATTCCACCTAATCTTGAGATCTAATTCGTAGTCCAGAAAATTTGTGCCATGAACCTGCACACATTCAAGATATGCTTAAATGTATATGACTTACGTAATTAGGTTTTTGTTACACTATACATGCTAACAGATATGAAAAATTTTTAATTTTAAAATTACCAAATTAAAAGAATTAGTAACTATTGATGATTGATATAACTTTTGTATTACTTTGACTAAACATTTAAGGTTTTACTAATTTACCCCACTCTCTAATTGGGTGGTGATCTCTCTATTTTTGATTAGACAAATTTGTATATCACTATGGCACAGTCCTATTACAGTAATAACTTCGAAAGTTTTTTAAAACTTCTAGCAATGATTTCTTAATAACTAGATGAACAAATTCATTAATTTTTTTTTATTTTAATTCTATAGTTTTGTAGAATTAAAATTAAAAAAAGTTCATTAAATTTGGTTAGCAGGTATCAAAAAATAATTGCTAAAGGTTAAAAAAAAACTTAAAATACCTTGAAAAAAATTATAATTGGATAAAATTTTTCTTTGAAATTTAAACAATAATTTTTTTAATAACCAACTATTAAAATTTGATAAAAAAAAAATTATTTTGATTCTTTTATTCATTGAATTAAAATAAAAAAATTTTGTTTGAATTTGAATAGTAGGTTGTTGAAAATATTCATTACAAGTCAAAAAAAAAAAATTTGGGCTTCTTTCTTAAAGACATCTATCTAAACTTTGAACGAAGATTACTCGGCACTTACCTGGTCAACATCGATTAAAATTTTTTTATTTAATTCTATAAGCTTATAAAATTAAAATAAAAAAATTTTGATTGAATTTGATCAGATAAGTGCCAAGTAATCTTCATTTAAAGTTTAGATGTCTTTAAGAAAAAGCTGTATCCAAATTTTTTTTTTGATTTGAATAAAGATTACTTGGCACTTACCTGGTCAACTTCGATCAAAATTTTTTTATTTCAATTCTATAAGCTTATAGAATTAAATAAAACCAAATTTATC